CATTAATTAAACCCATCAACAGCAGGGGCACAAACTGGGGTTGGACACCCCCTGTCCCCACCCCCTGTCCCCAAATCCTGATGTTTCCCCTCCAAATCCTCTGCCCGGAAACCACGAGCACAAACACTTAAAGCTCTAAGGAGGTGCCAGTGCCCCAGACCCGACCTGGAGCCTGTTTGACCATCAACACCCCCAAACACACCCAACCTGGTGCCTGTTCTTCCTGGGACACCACCACCACCACCTTGCCCCTTCCAAGGGCACAGTGGTGGGCACAGTACCCCCGATGCCCTGGCAGGACAGGCCAGGGAACAGCCACGACATGGAGGAACAGGGTACCCCACAGCAGCCCCCATGGCAGGGGGTGAAACCACCGCCAGGGGTGGATTAAACAGCAAGTGGAACTGCAGGGCCCCCCAAGACAGGTACCACCAGCTCCAACCTCCCGCCAGCACAGCCACCACCCGGGCTGAGGGGGTGCACCAGAGGGTGCCCCAGCACCAGGACGCGGCTCCAACGCCTGGAAGGTGCTGACACCCACCAGTCCCGTCAGAACCCGACCCCATCCCAGTCACACCGTGACCAGAACAGCCAGGAACCCCCTTCACGCCCACCCTGAACCCCCTTCCCTCTGGGCACAGGGACAGCCCTGCTGGGGCCGTGGAGGGAGGTAGTGCCACAGGGCAGGTGGGATCACGGTGACCCCCGGCAGGGACCAGCCCCCTCCCCACACCGCCCCCCTCGGGGCGAGGGACGGAGCCGGAGCCGCGGGTACAAAACCCGGTGCCGCGTCTTTATTGGGGGGCAGTGGGGGGCCGGGGGGCGGCGTGGGGGGCCGGGGCGGGTGGTGTGGGGCGGGGGCGTGTGACGGTGGGGCAGCGAGGGCTGAGGGGTGCTGATAAATAAGGGGGCGGGTGGGGGGGGTCCCGTCGGGGTGTGGGGACCCCCCGGCCCAGCTGTGCCCCCGCCGGGGGCCCGGCGGCTCTAGGGCTCCTCGGCGTCGTAGAGCAGGGCGGCGCTGAAGGTGGTGAGGGGCTCGTCGGGCGCGTGGGCCAAGCGCCCCGACACCAGCTCCACGCACAGGGTCTCGCCGGCCGCCAGCGGCAGCAGGAGGCTGAAGACGCCGAGGGCACCGGGGCTGGGGGCCTGCGCGGCCACCGGCCCCTTCTCCAGCCCCTCGGGCTGGAATCCGGCCGAGTCCAGGCGGGCGATGCCGTGGCCGGAGCGGGACAGGACGGCCTCCAGCGCCTCGCCCCGGTGCCCCGTCAGCACCGCACTCACCAGGTACCGCCCGGGCACCGGTGCCGTGAACGTGCCTGCGGCAGGAGGAGGGGATCAGGGACCCCCAGGAACCCCCGGTGCCCCCAGAACGGGCTCTGCACCCTCGGATCCCCTGCAGCACCCCACGGCCAGCGGCACACCCTGGGACGGGCACAGCACCCCCACAGAGCTCCCGGCCACCATCACGCCTGGCATCACATCCCCCTGTGACCGTGCAGCCCCCTCACACACCAGAGCCCCCACCGTAACCTCCATCACCCCAAAACCGCCCCACAGCCCCCCGTGCCCCCGCCCGGCCGTGCCGTGGGCTCTCACCTGTCTCGGGGTCGTAGGAGCCGCCGTCGTTGAGCAGCACCTGGTCGAAGAGGACGGTGCCCGGCTCCGCGCGCTGGGTGCTCAGGGCGGCCGAGAAGGCGACGCGGGGCACCGAGCCTGGCTCCCCGACCTCGCCTGGGCACCGTGTCAGGACAGGGCACTCCTGTGCCCCTGCCCCCGGGAACCCACTGCCAGCCTGTACCCTCTATCCCACTCCCAGCACCCTCTGCCCCCCAGCCCAGCAGATGCAGCCCCCACTCCCCCTTCACTGTGTCCATGCGACCCCTTGATCATGTGCCCCCCTGCACCCCAGCCCCTCTGCCCCCCAGCTTACCAGTGCCCTGTGCTCCCCCATGCCAACCCAGACACCCCCTGCTCCCCTTCCAGTCCCACCCAGCTCCCCACATCTGCCCCAAGCCCCCAGCCCCATGTCCTCTCCCCCCAGCCCCCCATGCCCCCCTGCACCCTAAGCCCCCAGCCCCAGCCCTACCTCTCTCTCCGGGCAGCCCTGAGGGAAAAGATGAGGAGGGGCTGCAGGGCTGGCTTGGGGTAGGACCCCCGGGCACAGGGTCCAGCCATGCCAGCACTGCCCCACTGCTGCACAAGAAGGGCACACGAAGGAGGCTGATCCTTACCAGGGGGGCCCACGGAACCCTGCTCTCCATCCTTTCCGGGAGGCCCAGGTGGGCCACGAGGGCCTGTCTCGCCCGCAGGTCCAGCAGGTCCAGGGGGGCCAGGGGGGCCTGGAGACAAGAGAGGGTTAGAGCCACCCTGGCCCCATAGCCTTTTCCCTCACCCCACAGTGTCCCCACAGTCCCGGGATGCCCTGTCCCCCTGCAGTGCCCGTGATGCCCCGTGTGCCCCCATCCCTGCAGCCCCTCAGGCCCACGACGCACTGTGTCCCCACAGCCCCGTGTCCCCCACAATGCCGCACGTCCTCCCAGGTCCCCGCAGCCCCACAGTCCCGTGTGTCCCTGTGTGCCCCCGTGCCCACGCACCGTGGCGCTCCAGCTGTGCCAGGCGGTTCAGCTCCCCGCGCAGGTGGCCCAGGCTGGCGTTGAGGGCGCCGAGCCGGGGCGGCAGCTCCAGCGCCTTCTCCAGCAGCGCGGCCTGGGCGCGGGCCGTGGCGTTCAGGTCCCGCACGGCCCCCCACAGCCCGGCCACGTGCCGGCCCAGCCCCTCACGGACGCCCCGCAGCCCCCCGGCCACCGCCTCCAGTTGCTCGCAGACCCCCTCCAGCTTGGCCACGCGCGGCTCCAGCCCCGCCGGGCAGCCCCCGGCCCGCGCCAGCTCCCGCGCCAGAGCCTCCAGCCGCTCCTCGCTCTCGGCCTGTCGCGCCGCCGCCGCCGCAGCCGCCTGGTCCAGCTCGGCCACCACGCGGTCGGTGATGGAGCCCAGCTGGCGCTGCCGGGCGTCCTGCTGATCCAGCGCGTCCTGCAGCCCCTCCACCGTGGCGTTGAGGCCGCTCAGGGCCCGCAGCGCTGCCGCCAGCTCCCCCCGCAGCTCCCGCAGCTCCGAGGGCGACGTGCCCCCGAAGACGCCGAACCCCTCCAGTGGTGCCTCCAGCTCCCCTGGCTCCGTGGGGCCGGGCTGGAGATGCTCTGGCTCCCGGGGGGGCAGCGGGGCACAGGGCCGGGCGCAGGGGTCACCGCTCAGCCTCTCCAGCGCTGCCTCCAACCGCCCCGTCCGGTTGCGGAGCTCCTCCAGCTCCTCGACCAGTGCCTCTCCCTGTGCCCCCAGCAGCCCCCCCAGGGTCCCGGCCAGCCCGTCCCCACGGAGCCCCTCGGTGTCCTGCGGCTGCCGGAGGTGGGGGCCGAGCGCCCCGTCGTGCCCGTCCTGCCCCGGGCAGGGGTGGCCGCAGCGGGCCAGCAGCCCCTCCAGCTCGTCCAGGCGGGCGCCGCGCTGAGCCCCGCTGGCCGCCAGCCCCTCCACCGCCCGGCTGAGGTTGGCCAGGCGCCCCGGCAGCCCCCCCGGCCGCCCCTCGGACTCGGAGGGCCATGGGCCGGCGCGGGAGGCGTTCAGCCGCCCCTCCAGCTCCGTCAGCCGCCGCGCCAGCACCGGCCCCTGCCCCGGCCCCGCCGCCGGCACCGGCAGCCCTTCCAGCCGCCGCTCCAGCTCCGCCAGGCGCCGGAGCACGTCCGGGGGTGGCGGGGCAGGGGGGACAGGGGCCAGGCGGCTGCTCAGGCTGCTGATGTGCCGCTGCACCGACTCCACCGCATCCCGGTTGCGCTTGTCCACCGAGCCCACCAACTTCTCCAGCGCCCGCATGCGGTCCCGGTCCTCGGCCGCCTGCCGCCGCAGCCCCTCGGTGCCGATCGTGCAGGCAGCGCACAGCTCCTGCAGCCGCCGCTCCAGGTCGAGCAGTGACGCGGTCCCCGGGCCCCCCGGCGCCCCCGGGCCGTCCCGGCCGCCCTCGGTGCGGCGCAGGCGGGTCTCCAGCTCCTCCAGCCGCTTCTGGACGTGGCTGAGCGCCTCCCGCACCTCGGCGGGGGCGGCCGCGTCGGCCGGCTGCTCGCCCCCGGGGTGCCCCTCCGCCCCCCGGGGGGGCGGCTCCTGCCCGGCCCGCAGCTCCTCCACCTGCTCGCTCAGCTGCCGCACCTGCTCCTCCAGTCGCCGCATCTTCTCCGCGTCCCCGCCGCCTGCCACGCACCGCCAGATCAGGGTGTCACATCCCCCTGCCACTGCATCCCCTGCCACCGTGTCCCTCCACCACCGCGTCCCCCTGCCCCAGCACTACCTTCACCCCCCAGGCCGCTGAGGGTGTTGCCGAAGCCGGAGAGCGTGGGGCGGCCGGGGCGGGGCGGGGGGCGGCCGGTGGGCTGGGGGGACGCTGGCGCGGGTCCCTCGGTGCAGTCCGGGCCCGAGTATCCCTGGCAGCAGCGCCAGGCCAGCTCCGACACCGTCCGCTGGGCCACCTTGTAGCGGGGCCGGAGGAAGCTGCGGTACCTGTGAGTGGAGGGGACAGGGAGTTTGGGGGATCCTGGGAGGGGTGCGGGGCTTCCCCAGGGAGCCAAACCCAGCACAGGCTGCGGCTTGACCCAACGGTGCCCGCAGTGTCTTGCTCAACAGCCGGCGGCCGGGGGGGCTGCCCCTGCCCCTGTCCAGCTCTGTCACCCCGTCACCAGCATCACCCTGTCCCCGGCATCACCCCAACACCGGTATCACCCCATCACTAGCCCGAAAAGCTGCACGGTTGCCAGGGTCCTGGCTCTGCTCGGCCAGGGGGACAGAGGCCGGTCACCCCCCGGCACCACTTGAGGTCACTGGCTCTTGCGCAAAGGTAAACACGACCCCGGGGCGGGTAAACACCAGCGGCGGCAGCACAGCCGCGGTCAGCCCCGGCTCTGCGCTGGCCCCCCAGAGTCCCCCGGAGACCCTCAGCCCCATCCCGCCCCCACTCACGCCAGGACCCGGGGGCACTGGAGCTGCCCCCAGGGGCAGGGCTGATAGTCCGGCTTGATGAAGCTCTCGACACCGTCCTCCACCACACAGCTCACACTGCGCGTCACCACGTAGGCACACCAGTTCCTGCCGGAGGGAAGGGGTCAGGCACACACCTGGAACGTGTCGGCACCAGGCATCGTCCTGGCACACGCGGGGCATTGTTCAGGGATAGACCTGGCATGGTCCCGGCACACACCGGGCGTCATCCCAGCACAGACCCGGCATTGTCCTGGCACAGAGCAGGCACCAGCATGGACCTGGCATCATCCCAGCACACACCAGGCATTGTCCCGGCACGCACCTGGCACACTCCCAGACCAGACCTGGCATCATCCTGGCACACAGCCAGACATCGTCCTGGCACAGAGCAGGCACCGGGCACTGCCCCGTCAGAGACCCAGCATCACCCCCTGCACCAGGCATCTCCGGGCACACACCAACCCCCCTGGCACACACCGGCTTCCCCAGCAAAGACTGGTTCCACTGGGCACACACCAGAACCCCGGGCACACACGGAATTCCTGGCACATGCTGGCCCCCCGGCACAACCTGACCCCCTGGGCACACCCCGGATCCCCCGACACGCTCCTGTGCTCGCCCAACCAGCCCCACCAGTAGCACCGTCACAGCCCAGAGCGGCGGGTTAATGGGCCGGATCCTGCCCTCCTGCAGCCCCTCTTCCCTGCCCGGCAACCTCACAGGAGCAGCTGCAGCACCTGACCACGGGGCAGCCCCTGGCAGCCCTGTGGGGATAGGGGCTCTGCCAGGAGTGGGGTGCTGACACCCCATCACATCGTGGTGTGGCTCCCATGCTGCCTGGCACGGGCATCCTACATCCTCCCCATCACTGCCCTTGTGTCCCCTGTCCCCTCTGTGCCAGTGGGGCAGGAGATTGGGGCAGCCACACACTGGGACTCCAACCCAGCCACAGACCGTGGGGATCCCTGCCTGAGGTGCAGGACCCCAGCCCAGCCCAGCCCAGCCCCACAGGTTGCAGGGACCCCAGCCCCACGGCCTGTCCCCGTCGCAGCCTTATATGGTCCGAGCCCGGGGCCCAGCCCGGCCCCCCTGACCCGTCCCCCAGCGGTCCCCCGGGGAGCAGTCCCCGGCCCTGGGACCCCGCCGCGGGGCCCCGGTGCGGCGGCCGGTTCCCGTCAGCCCGGCTGGTTCCCCTCAGGCCCCGGCTGGATTCCAGCTCCTCCCCGGGGGCCGCCGGGAATTCCTGCGCCGACCGACGGCCCCCCCTCGCCTCCCCCCTTCACTTCCCAGCCCCACGCCCGAGGGGCCCTGGGACCCCCCGGCTGCCCTGGGGTCCCACCGCCCCGCCCCGGGGCTGTCCCCATCCCAGGAGCGGGATGGGACCGGAGCCCCCCCGAAAGGGCAGGACGTGGGGACAACCCCGTACCCGCGAGCCACGGGGATGGGGCGCTGCACCCGCCGACCCGTGGGAAGCCCCCGCTGAGCCCCCAAAGCCGCAAGTAAAGGCTCAGCCGTATCCGTGCCCCACCAGGGAGTTGGGGGTGCCCGACCCATGGCCCCCCTCCCCAGGCACTCCAGGCTGGGGCCACGTCCTGTCACCCGCCGGGGCCGCCGTGGGGCCGGGGCAGCTCCAGCCCTGCGGCCGCGCTGCTGCGGCGCCGATGTGGCCGCGGTGTGTGACCCCAGCCCAGCGCGGGGCCGCCCCCAGCCCTGCGCCCCGCCAGCGCCCCGACCCACAGGCACGGGCTGCCCCACGACCGCCCCGCGCTGCCCACGGCAAGGGATGGGACGGGGATGGCGATGGGGTGGGTCTGGGCCCCTCTCCCCCTCCCCGGCAGCGCTGACCCCCGCGTGGATGCCGAGGCGGGACCAGCCCGGGATCCCCGCGCGGCGGCACCGGCTCCCGGCCCCCGCCCTCCACGTGCGCCCACTGCCCACCCGCCGCGGGGCCGGGGCTGACCCCCCAGTCAGGGGAGCCCCCAGCGCTGACCCGGCCCCCGGCACGGCCGCTCCCGCCGCCCCCCGGGCTGGACGTGGCACGTGCCGGTGCCCGGCCGATGTCGGGGTCCCCGCTGCGTCGGAGTGGGGGCTGCCCCCGTGCCCCCGCTGCCGCCCGTGTCCCCCCGGCGCGTCCCGGTGCTCTCGGCTCCTACCTGTGCCGGCCGGCGGCCCGGGCACCGCTGTGGGCCGCGGCCGCGCCGGGGGCGAGCGGGGCGGCCCCGCCGGTGTAGAGGCTGTACCGGGGGGGAAAGTTGGCGGCCAGGGCCTGTGCGGCCAGGAGGCACGGCCAGAGCCAGAGGGCCATGCTGGGCTGGGGCGGCTCCGCTCGGCTCGGTCAGCCCGGTCCGGCGCGGCTCAGGAGCGCATAGGGTGTCCCGTCGCGGCTCCGCGGCTCTGGGCGGCTCGGCTCGGCACGGCTCGGCTCTGCCCTCCCCCCGGCCGCCCCTCGGCCAGCCCCTCGCCGCCAGGGCCGCCCCGCTGCCGCTGCCCGCCGGCGGGGTCCCCGGGGCCCCCCGCTTCCTGCCCACCGCCGCCCCCGCCGCGGCCGCGCCGGGCACCGCGGCCCCGCCGGCCCCGCCGCCGCCACATCTGCTCCTCGTTAGGCCGGGCCGGGGAAGCCAGAGGGGCCGGGCAGGGGGCCAGGGCGCGGGCGGCCAGCGGGGCGGCGGGGCTACCGCTGCGGTACCGCCACCAGCACTGCCACCGCCACCGGCACCGCCTCGCACGGTGCCCCCCGTCTACCCGGCCGCCGGTGCCCCCGCCCCGCGCCTCTGCCCCGGGCACAGCCGCGGCAGGTCCCGGCACCGCATCCAGCACTGCCACGTCCCTGTGTCCCCGTGTCCCCGTGTCCCCGTGTCCCCGTGCCAGGTTACACGTCCCGGTGCCGGTGCCGAGCCAGGTACTGCCCTCGCCCCCAGCCCAACCCTGACACCGCGCTGAGGACACCGGGGGCACTGGAGCAGCCGGCGGTGACACCACGGCCACCCAGGGCCACCGCGGTCCTAGGCCTGCGGTGACGCCATGGCTTCCCCGGACCGCGCGGTGACGTCACGGCCTCCTGGTGACATCACGCCTTGGCTCCGACCCCACGGTGACGTCAGGGTGCGGGAACCCCCCGCCCTCGGGGAGCTGCGAGCGTGGGTTAAGCACAAACAGCTGCCGGCAGCTGGAGGGGGGAGGGGACGGGGAAGGGGACACGGGGGAAGAGGGACGCGGGGGTGGGGGACACGGGGCTGGGCTTGGCCAGGGCCCAGCCATGGGCTGTCCCCAAGGGGACGGTGTCACCTTCTCTGTGCCCTCAGAGGCCGTGGGGGCAGCGGGGGTCCTGCAGGGCTGTGGGGGGCCGAGGCCCTGCCGCGTCCCAGGGTACTCCAGCCAGTGCCGGGGACTTGTGGCCGAGCAGGGACAGTCAGTGGGGGTCCCGTTCTGCCCCAGCACAGCCAGGGGGCTTAGGGATGGGGACCAGGGTGGTGGCAGGACCCCGGGGGGACTCACTGCTGGGACTCCCCGGCTGCGGCCCATCCTGCACCCAGCCCAGTATGCCCCGATACACCTCAGTACACCTCGATACATCCCAATACACCCCGGTACACCCCACCACATCCCAGTACGTCCTCATCATCATCATGGCTGGGCTTCGCGAACGAGGATTTGGGAAGGGCTCTACCCACATTTGCTACAAGCGCGCTGGTGGCTAAAAAGGCCAATGCGAGACAGACAGGTCCGGTTACAAAAGGCACAGCGGAAAGACTCCTAGCACACCACAGTATACCCCCGCCCAGCACATAGCCCAGTATCCCTCACTACCTCCCAGTATACCCCAGTACAGCTCAGCACATCCCAGTACGTCCCAACACAGCCCAGTACAGCCCGTCCCACTCCAGCCCCGCGGCCCTGCCCGCTGTCATCAGCTGTAATGAGCTGTCATTAGTGTCATTAGCGCTAATTAGCCGCGGCCGCCCCGGGGCTCCCCGCCCCGCCCCCCGCCGTGGCCCCGCCCCCCGCCTCGCGCCGCGCCTTGTATGGAGAAGGAGCCGCCGCGGCTGCCAGGGGGCGGGGAGCGCCCGGGGGGCGGGGCCAGGGGTAAAGGCCCCGCCTCCGCCAAGAGCCCCGCCCCCCTTGGGGCAGGCAGTGACGTCACCGCGCACTCGGGTACTGTGACGTCACAGCACCAGATAGGAGTGACTTCACCGCTAGGCCACGCCCCTCCCGCCGTGCCCCGCGGCCGGAAGTGACGCGCGGCGCGGGGAGACGTGTCGGAGCGGCAGGGCCGGAACGTGAGCGGGGGGACACCGGGGGGACCGGGAGGGGGCAGGGACCGCGGGGGTGCGAGGGGGGGAAGGACCGACTGCGGGGGGCGAGGGGCCTGTAGCGGGGGGGGTCCCTGCGCGGTGCCAGCGTGTGTCCCCCCGCAGGATGATCACGGACGTGCAGCTCGCCATTTTCGCCAACATGCTGGGCGTCTCGCTCTTCCTCCTCGTCGTGCTGTACCACTACGTGGCCGTGAACAACCCCAAGAAGCAGGAGTGAGGGGACCCCCGAAAGGCCCGGGCGGGGTTCCCGGCCGGCCTTCGTTCCTTCCGGGCCGCACGCGATGCCCCGGCCGCGCTGGGGGCGGGGCCGCGAGAGGCGCGAGGCCGAGCTTATTCCAAACCAGTTTTAAAGGAAACACGATGATACAAGACTAAACAGTGTGACGTCGTAAAAGCCCCGGACCCCTCCGCCAGGCCCGCGGGGAGGGCCGGGGCGGGTGCGAGGGGAGCCCCCGGCCTGGGGCTCAGCGCAGCAGGAGAGGAGCTGCCGGCAGGAGCTGGGCCAGGGGGGGCCGGTGGGCAGGGGCCGCGGTGGGGCACGGCGGGGCCGGGGGGGCCGCAGCCCCCTCTCCAGCGCCGCAGCCCTTGCCCGAGTGCGGCCGGCACGGGGCCGAGCAGGGCCAGGGGCCCCCGGGCTGCGCCACAGCCCCCCGGAGCCGCGGGGCCGTACCTGGGGCCGCGGGCCCCTGCCCCGGCTCGGGAAGGGTCCCTCGGCGCTCAGCACCCCCCCGGGGGGCACGGGGGCCTCCAGGCAGAGCCCTGTGGGACAGAGACCGACGTCAGCAGGGCACGGGGCTCCCGCAGGCCCTTGTGCACCGACAGCCCCAGGCCTGAGGGTGTCGGGGTCCCAGACCCCCACCTGGTGGGGGCTTCGCTCAGGGCTCCCACCACCCCCCATCGGCATGGGCTCTGGGGTGACAGCACACCACAGCACCTACCCAGGCCGCTCCAGGGCTCTCCGGGCGTTCAGCTTCATCGGGAGCACCTGCAGGAGGGGGGCACAGGGGAGAAGAAGGTTGGTGCCAGGACCCCTCCTGTACAGCTCCAGCTGTTGCACAGAGCTGGACCCCTGCCCCTGGGGTGTCCACACGGTTTCGGGAGAGCACTTGGGGCAGAAACACCTGGCAGAGCCCCATGGCTTGGGGGGCTCCCAGCCCTAGGGGCAGCCCCACAGAGGTATTCCCCCAAAGGTGTTGCTCCAGCAGAGCCGTGGGGCAGCCCTGGGTCCCCTCCCTGTGGTGCCCCCGGTACCTGCAGCAGTGCTGTGCCCTGGAGCTCTCCCACACCTTGCTGGGCCTCCTGCGGTCCGTGGCTGGTGCGTGGCATTACCTGGGTGCCCACAGGCAGGGTCCCTGTGTGACAGAGGAGACAGAGCTCAGCCCGTGTTGGTGACAAGCTGTGTGCCATGGTGGGGGCACGGAGCCATCACAGGGCACCTTGGCACGGCCTGGTGACACCATTCCCACAGTAGCAGTGGGCACAGAGTCCCCCTCCCTGCCAGCCTTGCCAGGGCCAGGCCCCCCTGCACAGCTCAACACCAAGGGCCATCCTGGCAGTGGCCAGTGCTGGAGGGAGGATGTGATGGACACAGAGCTCAATCCCAGCCCTGCTGGTGCAACAGGCTCTACCCTGGCTGGGCCTGGTGGTCCCATAAATCACTGCCCCTGGCTCCAGCCAAGTTTCCAGCCTGGTCTCCTGTGGCACTGGCGTGACCATGCTGGCCAGGCCTGGCTGGCAATGAGGACCTGGGGGGCACAGCTCTGGAGCAGGGACACAGCTCCAGACCAGGGGATGTCCTGGATCATGGGACACCCGCTCAGCCAGGAAAGCTGGGTGGGAGAAAGGGGGGCCTTTGGGGGCCTGGCTGTGGTTGGCCATGCTGAAGGAATACCTGAGTCACCTCAGCATTGCTCCCAGTTTCAGCTCTCCCAGTTAAACTGTCTTTATCCCAACCCAGGAGTTCTTTCCCCATCCCACTGGGGAAGCAAGCAAGTGGCAGAGAGGCTGTGCTGCCCACTGGGGTGAAGCCAGGGCTGTGTCCCGTGGGGGTTGGACAAGGTGTCCAACAGCCAAGGTAGCCGTGAACAGCCACAGACCCTGCAGCAAACGAGACCCTGCAAGCAGGAGCCTGTGCTGGGCAGGATATGCCAAAGCCACTGGTGCCAGTGGGAGGTACTGAAAAGCAACAGCTGACTTCACCTGGGCCAAACCAGCATAAATTCAGTGACCAACACCAGACAGCAAAGGCCAACAGCAGCCAAGGGGGGGTCTGGCAGAGACCTGGCACACTGACCTCCCTGGGGTGTGGCCAGGCTGGAGCGGGAACTAGGAAGGAAGTGGAAGGATGGGACAAGACCAGGGTAACAGGATCTTCACCCCATGCCATCCAGCCCCCAACCCATCACAGGTTCTGAGTGTTCCCGGTTCCTTCCCAGCTGCCTGGGAAGCAGAGGCTGGGATGGCACAGCTGGGGGGTGCCAGTGCAGGGCTCGGAAGGCAAAGCCACGGGGTCAGAGCATCCCCAGGCCGTGATCCCTGTGCAGACCCGAAGGAACAGACGGAACAACGTGCCCATGAGAACATCAGCCTTTTATTTCCTCCCCCCCCGTTCTCATGGCAGACAAGACACAGTCACAACA